TTGTATTTTACATAATAAACTATTCCTCGGCATCACATTTCGGCGGGGTAGGGCGGTGCCTTATGAAAGGTGCATTCGCTCAGCCTTGCGATCGTTCGTCGGGTTCGAGTAGAGTCGCCTGTTTGTCGGAGTTGTTGGTTTTGGTGGTGACGGGAGTCTCACATCCGTCCGCGGACGAGGGCGATGCCGAGCTAGTCGTGGCAATAGATTGGTCTCAGGGCCTTCACTGGATTGCGAAGGACCCCCACTGGGAATTGTTGCCGGCTTTCATCTCGATTTGGTTAGTTTCACTGCGGGTAATTACATGCAAAGATAGAATAAATGAAACATTTGTAAGGGGAGCTTCGCAAGCAGTGCGCACGGTGAGGGGCTGGCTCGCCCGACACGGTGATCGTGCTGCTCGTGACGGGTAGCCGTGTGGCATTGTCCGGGTTGGGTGACGAGCTTAGCGTCTTGCAAATGAACTCACTTTAGCGTTCGTGTGGTGGTCTCCTCGACCTGGATGGGATTAAATTCGCACCACGTGGTAAGGCCCCTGGAATGGAAGTGCCGACTTGGCGGCGCATTGTTAGCCGCCTTCGAAAGGATCCCATGAAGTGTGAGAAGACTATCGACCAAGGCTCTTCCGGCAGGGCCGTTAACATTTATCAGACCGGCTTTTGCTGGACTGATTTATGTTGTTGGCAGCTCAAGCAGTTTTGCACTTAACGGGCGATGTCCCGGTGTATTCCGGGCCAGTATTATTGACTGCAACTTCGTTGTTTCGTCTTTTCCGCTGAGGGCTCGTCATGGTTCTCTTGCAAGATCGCGCCCCCCATGGGTGTTGGTACGCACAATTTCCATGCCGCTTCTCCCCCTTCTATACTGTTCGACGGAAAATGACATGAAATGAGTGGTGAAATCGGTGAACTACTGCGGTTCTACCTAGACCTCTTGCAGCTTGTTAGTTAGCCACTGGCCACTGGTCTTTGAGGCTATAAAATAGTTTGAATTTTCGGTAGAGGATATGCATCGACTTACTGTTTAGATGGCAGAAGGCCATTCACATACGCCGAGTTCCGTTTTTATTCCCTGTCGTGGTTATCGGTGAGTTGTAGGGGCTCTTGGCGGGTTCGATTTAGCTATTTGCAATCAGCTTGTTGACCTCGGCGTTGATTATTGCTTACATGGCCGGGTTTCATGTGGCATATCATAATTTGAACGATTGATCATCCTTCATGATAATTTTGTGCTCGGCGATGGTGGTGACTCCCTGTCAGCTTGCAAACTTTGGAAATTCTTGCTGCAGGAAACGTTCGATGCATCGCTGTCCGTACTCGATGCTGAGTCGCGGCCCGTCAATCGCATTTTGGTTATTTGTTGTGGTTTGCGGTGTTTCGAGAGACGCAATAATTATTCTTCGTGATTTAGAGCCAACTTTCAGAACAAAGCGTTGATAAAAGAAGAGATTTAAACATATGTTTATTTTGGGGAAAGTATATTTAAATGCTTGCTTTTACTAGGTTATGGAGTTAAGTCCTCTAATTGCCACTGAAAATATCCAGGAGCTGAACATTTTTGTAAAGTTTCCCACGCAGTTAAATTTCAATTTTCATACTTTCACTAGGACCGGTAATAAAAAGAAAATTATTAAAATTTTTCTTTGATTCTTTCTAAAAACTTTCTTTACTTGCTTGTTTTTAGAACTTCCTTTGGGGTTTTCGCTGCCTTAACTGACGGTCCTTTTTCCATTTCCTTCAATTCTTGCGTTATTATATTTTGCTTATAATGAATACGCATTTGTTTTAATAATATTCCAAAAGGCCTCATCTACCAATTATTAAATGGAGTTTTGTTGTTTCCCTCTTTTCTTTTCAATTTACCATAAATTTTATTACTTTTCAACTACAATTAATATTCGTAAACATTGTCTGCGCGATCAAACACCTTCACTTGACAACGAATCTCACTTAATACCCGTTTTTCGCTTCGCACCCATGCACGAATTCTAATGTTCCATTCAAACCTCTGCCGCAGTTGTATCTGTCAATTCGCCTTAATTTTTTTTTGCTTTTGCTTTTGCTCTCGCGCAACGGTTTTTGGTTCCTTATGGGCTTTTGAGTGCCCGAAATTGTTGTTGCTTCATCGTAACAAGCACATTAGGCGAGTACGTTTTTCTTTGCCTTTTTTTTATTGTTTGTTCGTTATCTTTTTTTTTTGTCTCTTAACAATATTCACTGATTTAATTGCAGGTGTTTCATGAATTTTCGCTTTGGAAATTTTATCAGAAATTTTTCCTTTTATTTTTTTGTCTTTTAAAATAACTTCCACACCCACCCACATGCTCTATATATTATTATTCGAAAAAAACTCGGTGCTGCTGATGTGTTGGCAAAGTTCAGTTCAACTTTTATGATTTTTCACAATAATATTTTCTTTTCGTCGTTTTATTTAATCCTCTTTTTTTTCGTTTCACCAAATTTTCTTTTCTCTCTGGTTCAATTTTCACCTATTTCACAAATGTTTTTCATTGAGATGTCTCACGCTAGTGTGCCACTTGTAAAGGGCTGTTTTGTCCACAAAAGATTTCTTTTGTTTTTTTCTAAAATATCTTTAATACATATTTCACGGCTTTATTTTGCTAACTTGCATTTATATACTGCTTTCATATTTCTTTAAAATATTTACTTCAAAAAAATACTTCAGTCAATACTTCAGTATTTTGAGAATATCGTTTACATCGCAGAATGAGCATAACGGGAGTATATCTTCTTCAGTATAATGTTGACGATTGATTTTTGTGTCCTATATATAATTTAATTAATTTCGAAATGTGATGTCGTTGAACAATGCTATCAAATGCAATCTATTTTCATAAGGAAGCAAAGAAACAAGCGGGTCGCAAGGCTAATTCTTAAGGGCAAAAAGACAGGAATTGCTTTTGAACGGATATTAAAGCTAAATAGCGCTTATAGGAAGGTGGCCGTACAACAGAGGCATCATAGCGTAGTCCTTCAAAACTCATGGTACCCACCAAAGGCAAAGCATTATCGACGTTACAAAGAACTCAGACAGTGCCATAGATATTGTTGCCTCTCTAGGGGAACTCCCAATTTTTTTGGGTTTAAAATTACCAACACGCGCTTATCATCGTGGGTAACGAAATTCCAACACTTTGTTTATTTCTCAAACGCAAAATTTCGGAAATTGGATTTTTACCTTCCCTCTTCCAATATTTCAAAATTCTTGGCAATTGATATTTTTTGTCCTCTAAAGTTGATTTTTTGTTAACGTACCATCTTCTTCCAATAACATCAATGGATCTACGCCCTCAAAGGGCCTTTGATTTTCCGAAGTGCCTTTGGATCTCAGAGTCGAAATTGCCATTCTGACACCAATTTTATATTTTTAAATGGGTCATCTTCTCTATAGACTTCCTCAACTATGTATGTATGTCAGCTTATATTTTTCGCTACTACAGATTACAAATCAAAGACATAAATATTAGGAGTTATTTTCTCTTTCAATTTTGTTTTAAATTTTAGTCTTCGGTATGCGCGCTTGTATATTACGTGAACTTAAGACCATATATGTGCCTAGTATGAAGAGTTTTTTTCCAAACTTTCTAATCGTGGTCATTTCAAAAATCAATTTAATTAAGACGATCAAAAAATTATTAAAAGATTATCTACTATTGCAACTAATATGACAAATATCATTAGTGTGTCAATAACAATATATATGCAGTAAATGCAAGGAAAAAGAAGAAGTGACTAAATAAACAAAACAATAACCCAAATAAATTATTTATTTATGGCAGTCGAAGAGCATCGAAAATAATTATTTACTTTCGCTCACATATTGATATTTCCGTCATTAATGAGATTATTTTTCATATACATTAATTGTGAAATATGCGCACTTTGTAAAAATATTTTATTATATTTTTCCTTCGAATGTCCTAATAAATTTTGTATTGAAAAGTTTTTCACGCGAAAATAATGAAAATGCAAACACCATTGACTGCCGTATGCTAATTAGTTGATAAATCGACTCGACAATCGACTCAAACGCAAAAATAGCGGTTGAGCTTACTAGACATAGAGTGGCTTAAAGTAACTCCAGACTAAATTTAGTGCAGATATGATTAATTGGGTGGTTCGAATATATAAACTGAGATAAGATCGCGTAAATACTCTTTGAGGCCTTTTAGAGTATTTTGGGGTTCGTAGCTATCAACGCGTCTTGTTTTAGCGGGAAATATTGACAGTATACAGAATTTATTTGAATTTCGTAGTGAATACGACAGCAGGGATGAAGCCGCTTCGCAGGAACGCGAAACTCCTCTTGGAATGGAGAAAAATTCGCCTAAATGCAATAATGTAATAATTTAAAAAATGCATTTTGGTGTACGTCCGTCCAGTGTTATATGAAACATAAATATTCATAAATATTTATAAACATATGTCAAGATACACAAATGTAACTCATTCTTCTCTTGTAAGTTATTTCAGTCATGTTTGTTGGCCGACCATGTTTGTTTTTGAAAGCAATGCAACAACCTGTTATCAATTTTATCTTTCTCTTAGTTTTTCGTAGTCAAATTGTCAAATTAATAGCTTTTGATAAAAATAATGCTACATATAGCAATCCTAATATAAAGAAAGTAATTCAGCTTAACTTGCGTTCATTCTGCTCCAATCGTCCTTGGTACTTTGAAAGAAAATTTCCAATAACATCTACAAACTACAGGAACAAAAGCACCCAAAAGTGGGAGCTAGCTGTTGGAAAAAAATGTTATTTTGTTAAGTCGTGAATAGTAAATGTAAATACAGGGTCTAAATGTGAACTTATTATTTTTCTCTTTAAAAATGTTTATTTGTCCCGTCAGTTACTATTTGAATAAAAAAAGAAGAAAGTGAAAGGTTTAAGGGAAAACAAGTGCTAATAGTTGTAACGTCTAAGGCAGACACAATTGATTTTTTTATTAACCACTTGTATTTGTTCCTCTTTTTTCACAGAACATCAAGAGCAGTTTTATCTTTATTTAATAATAGCTGTAGCTGCTGGTATGCTTTTATGCGTGACTCTTGTAATTGGACGACTCACGTTGCAGCGAAGGCGCGCTTGTTGCAAGAATAGTCTATCCAGTGTAAGCAACAACGAAAAGATAGTCAGAGATAAGGTGCAAAGTACTAGTGATAAAGATGGGAAGCATCAACAAGTACCAGCGCGTGATACCCAACCGAACGTCTCTTTCGGGGATAACTTATCTGACATCGATGCAGACGTTGATTTGAGAACCCAAATGCCGCTCTCCGGCCTATCATCACGAAATGAGGTAAAAAGTAAATACAAATTATTATTAAGGAAGTGGTACTCGAATGTATTTTCGCACGCATATGTATGCGAATTAAAAACATTTTTTTAAACAAAATTTTTCTTCATTTTATCTCTTTTTGTGTAATTAGTCATATATGACGTATGCTCCTAACCATAGTTGCAATTTAGGTTCTTTGCGCGACAACCACACATCTACGCATTATGGAACGGCAACCACTATGCTTATGCCTTCAACATCCCAGCACAATAATTTAATAATGGCGGGAGATCATAATGTAAATAATGTCAAAGTTTTGAGTTGTCCTGCAACAGTAGGCAATCGGCAAAATACACCTCCAACACCATCTTCCCTTTACACTAGCATAGGACTGTGTTCACTGTCCCTTGGTGGACCTATCGGTACAGGTAAGCCGATTAAGTTATAAGCCACGAATTTGAGGATTTTGTGTTAATATGAACGACACATACATATCTGACCGTGCATTTACGTTTGCTTACAAAATTAATTATTTAATATTTCTCTTGGTACAATCACATCACTTTCGTATTGATAGCGTGCAATGAGTTGCTAGATATTTTATATATATTTAGAATTTCCTGATTACAGTAACAAATTATTCATTTACACTTTCAAGCGGAATAATAGTTCAATTTCTTGATCAGATTCCTATAGCTCTATGTATACTTTCATTCCATTTAATCAAAAGCATAAGGTTTGGTTTACTGGATATGCAATGTAAATAGGTGTAATATAAATTTAGCTGCTTAGTGCTACATAGCAATGGATTAAATATTTAAACTTATAAATGGAGAAGGACCATATTCAGCTTGTGCAAGCTTTTGGACTACAATGTATGAAACGTTATTTATTGTATACTCTGATCAAAGAATAGTAAGATTTTTCCGCATAAATCTCACCCAAGATACTAGCTAATTGGCAGCCATGCCGCAGGTGAACAAAACGTCGTCAAAACATTGTTACGACTAGAATAGGATTTTCGCGTACGACCTACAAAACATTGAACCAATCAATCAATCTTCGTACGAAGGTGGGTAAGCCAAAATATAACTCGAGTGAAAATTTGAAGCGATGACGATAGTTTTCCTTCATTATATTATTCCATCGGTCAAACCGATTAACAAGTAATGTTATTAAAGTTCTACGCCTCATCCGGTGGCACTGTTTCGACTTAACTGGGGAGAAACAAATTGAATTCAGGAACGTCTTAAAAGTTCTTGTGGAAATTGACGTTAAGAACTAATTTTAAATCTGGAAAAAGTTCGGCATTCTATGTACTTTCAACGGGATAAAGCAATTTTGGCGTAGAATAAGCGATTTGCCTGCACGTATCTTAAGATATATTTGTAGGCTAGTTGCGAATAATCATCAAGCAGTCTCGGACCAAGAGCGTCAGAAGAGGAGGGGCGACTGAAAAGGCCGCAAAACCCCGCGAATCTTCGGCGACAGGAGGATACGGCGAATCTGTTCTACCATCTTCATAAGTTTATCCTTAATCTTATCTAGGTGTGGAATAAACTTGCCTCGATCATGCATGGTACTAAGACTGACCCCATTCAATCTGAGGTCTGCTGGACGAGAGGCTATCTTTCAGCACCATCATTACAGTTTCCTCCATGTCCTCATGCACCGATGACTCTCGTAGTGCTTTCACCGCGTTCTTCTATGTCTTTCCGAGCCATACCCTTCACCAAGATGAGCAGGTGAAAATCAAGAAATCAAGTATTCCATTAACTCCGCCGCACATGCCTTCTAGCTGCCTTAACAAACCGCCCATCATAATGTTCCACATAAATGGTCCACTGATGGGTCCGTGTGGACAACTTCTAAACACATCCCTGAAGGCAATGTCGTTTGTGCCGACAACAAAAGCTCGCCACTGAGAGAAATAGCCAGCCCAGAGTTTAATATCTAGGCAATTTACCTCCCGCAGCCTGGCAAGTATATTTTCCCAGTTAAAATGATCGAACGCACCTTAAAGTCAATAAATATGGCTAAGACATATTTCTCATTACAATCCCGGACACGTACCTGCACATGTAGCCAGGCATCTTCCGTGCGGAGACCCTTGCGGAAGCCAAACTGCCTATACTTTTCTAAGCACTGGAAGAAGACTGATACCCCGATAAGACGAAGGATCACTTCTCACCCTATCAGGTGATTTCAGCAGAACCAAAACATTTGCCATTTTCCACGGCGTTGTTAAAAAAGCCTTTAGACAGACACGGATAATAGGTCGTATATAGTAATCAGGAATAACGTTCAATAGGCCTTTTGCCATCGCCACGGTAATTTCGTTAATGCCTTGCTATCTTTTTGATCTGACTTTGGAAATTGCATTCTCCACCTCATACTTTTCCGAGGGAGGAGTAAGAGGAGCAAATCCAATACTGGGAATCACCTCATGATCCTGCCCAGGGAAGAATGTTCCCAGTTATGCATCCAGACACTCTAAGTCGATGGTACCCCATTTTAAGTGCAAATACCGCTTATCTCCAAGGATTTTCTCCCCTTGATAACACGGTACACCTGACCTATAGGATCATCTCGGTTTCGGGACAGAAAATTTCTCCAATCGTCCTCTTTAATCAATAAGCATGCGCTTGTAGTCATTGAGGCATTGCCTGAATTCGACTCTGAGCTGAACAGCTTTCGCAGCATTAGACCCTCTTGCCCGCTGGAACTGGCTTCTAAGGCGACGGACAGCCTTTCTTTTATCGGACAGACGACGTGTCCACTATACCCCTCTTTAATTTGCCTTGCGGCATCTCTCGAAAAACAAGTCGTTGACACTCCAAACAAATTCAGTTACGTAATCTACCTGCTCATCTAAGGGTTTCCTCTGGAAGTTCCCAAGCGGCATTACAGTGACCGTCTCCCTAATAAGGACCCCGTAGGTGTCCCAGTTTATCCCGGAAGTACGCCAACGTTTGACATCAACTTCAACAGACGTGGCCGGGGTAAAGCTCATCACCACTTTAATAATATGGTGGTCGCTACCACCCCAACCACCTTTCACCCCTCATGGAAAATCCAAGAATCCCGTTGCTGCCCTTAAGGCAATAGTGACATCAGTGTCACTAGCCCCAACTGAACCATAGAGAGCGTACCATCGGCTCATTTAACACCTGGACACTTCTGGTTATACACCACTCAGAAAACACTTCACCCCTCATTTGGTTGCGTAAGCCAGAAATTCGTTCTGGCATCTTGCTAAACCATAAGGGTGAGCAGCCGTTAGCATCCAGCCCCAGGATCAGTGGGGTGGCACCAGCAAGTAGCAAAACCGAATTCGTATGCCTAAGATAGTCATCCAGCTCTTGGTTGAACTTACAATAAACACTTGCACAAAAAAACCTTTCGTACGGGCCTTCAACGGACGCACAGATACCATGACTGCTTGCCAGGGTAAGTGTGGCTTCACATCATTCACAATGACAGCAGAGTGGCTATTGTGGTCAAGGAACACACGGATATCCCCCGGTAGGCCTTGCGCTTACAAGTGGATAAGCACGGCTCCTGCACCAATACCACTCCACTGCTTACCTCACGCACACACTGGCCTTACAATTGCGAAGGCAGTCATATTAAAGTATGAGCAAGGCCATTTTATTGGCGAACTGCCACCCGCGCAACCATCTTATTGTATTCAGCACATGCGAAGGACATCATAAGATGACCCGCTGGAAGCCCCTAAATTCACAATTTCTACAGTGTGCGTCGTTCGTACACACACTGTATCTACGGCTACTTTGACCGGAGTGTCGGCAAATTATTCCCCTCACCCTGCAATCTTTAGCCATATAGTCAAAGCAGAGGTAGCCGTAGCACATGGACACCTCGTTGTAGGGGCGTACCAGGAACGACTTAGAATCCACTCAGCGTACACTCTACCAGCGCGCAAAAGGGAACCCCTGGTAGTCCTGTAGCTTTCGAAAATAACATATGTTTTGCTGTCACCATCTGCCCACGGTTTCGATACAAGGTGGACCCCGCCGTCAACCTCCTCCCGACCAGAGAATAAACTTTTAAGGTTCATTTCATATAGCTTATCCATTAAAGCGGACCGACTCATCTTCTTATGGACGGACTGAACTAAAACTCTCAGGCCTAATATGTTCACAATAGGAACGTCAAGCTCGACTTCCCCAAATTTTGCGATGGCAACATTGCAGTAGTGTCAGCAGTGTTCTTACTACGGACAACCACAGACCAGGATTCTATTGGCTTTGGCGGTACAACAGTCTGTGCAGCGTCAAGAACGGGGGGAAGAGCTCGCGGAGGAACTTGAAACGTTCACCACCTTTCTCCAACTCTCTGCAGCCTCTAAGGTGAGCATTTTGCGCCACCAAGACGAAGAAGATCGGCTCGTACTCGCCACCAAAGGCCAAAAGCTCAAAAGCAGCCTCCAGTAAAACATTCTTCGGCGAGCGCACGTACTGGCCTGCTAGTCACGGAAGCTGCCGCGCCCACTACAGGGGCGGAGGCAGCGGGTGCAGCCACTTTGCCGGTTGTCCGTTTGGGCCTCTTAAGAGCGCCCGACCGTGAACCGGGAACTATAGGTATTGCGTCACATTTTCATTTTTACCGCGGCATCGCTATCCGACACGTCGGGTGGATTTTGCTTACGTTTCGTACCACCCCCTTTTAGTAAACCAATCTCCTGGCCACACAAGAAATTTGTACTTTATTTCCTTTCTTCATTTTATTGGGATTCCTCTAATCATTTATTTAAATCTCCAAAACTAATTACGAGAAAACGTCTGGTCGCTTGCGTCGCTTGCGATCGATCGACTCTGAAGCCGAAACTCTTCTCCTTCAACCTACTCACTCTACCTTCCTAATTAGCTTATCTTAGCCTATTCTTTCCCTACTCTTAATCTACTCTTCTTCTACTCTTACCCCACTCTTCATCTATGCCTATCCTACTCTTGTTCTACTCTTAATCTCTTCTTGCAATACTCTTATTCTATTCTCATCTCTTACCCCACTCTTCATCTATGCTTACCCTACTCTTGTTCTACTCTTAATCTCTTCTTGCCGTACTCTTATTCTATTCTCACATTAGCACTCCCATCCCCTCAGCAGTGACGGAGAAACTGTGAGGCCAAAACTTTGGATGCCCACAGATCCTCCGTTCTTCGGGGGCGGAAGTGACTGTTGAAGGACCTCTCTGGGGTTGGCCTGTCGGTAATGGCTTAGGTATGGCTGGCGCTGTTCGTTGTTGCAGAGCGTTTGCTGCTGTTGCTGCTAGATTGCATGGCTGGGTGCGTTTGCAGCTCTTAAGCCGAAATATACCAGGCGACGGTATCACGGTTGGTGCTGTCATGCTTCTCATATCGTTGGCTAGCAGTTTTGTTTCCAAGTTGGCTGCAGAGCCTATTGC